TTCTGCTGAGGCAAGAGGTACAATGGGAGACAAATGCCCCCCACAGAGGAGAGGCCAAACCAATTTCTCAGTGCTTAGGCCACCTGCTCCCTGTGGGAGCCCCCAACCCCCCCCACCCCAGCACTCCCTGCCTCGGAGCGTGGGAAAGGCTCTGCAGGGGGCCCCCGGTGGGGTTCTGCTGAGGCAAGAGGTACAATGGGAGACAAAAGCTCCCTCCAGAGGAGAGGCCTGGCCATTGAGGGCAGGCTGTCCACTTCAACCCAGAGAGGCCGGCGGCGGCGAGAACTTGCCAGGGAAGGACCAAGGAGACTGCTGAATGCGAGCCTGGCCGGGCTGGCCCTGGAGACCCCCTCCTTCTCCGAGGCCCACCTGCTCATCTCCTTCTGAGAGCCCTCTCAACTTCCAATTAAGTTTTTCAAATAAAACTGTGGCCACCAGGACCTGCTGCTACTTGTGGTTTTTGACATGAAGGCAATCAGAACGAAACCCCCCCATCTCCATTAACGAGGACACTAATGGTATCTTAGAGACCTATCCTCTGCACAGCCGGGCTGGGAGCTTCCCACTCCCCTGGGGGCCCTACTCAAGAACTAGCGTTACTGCCTCGCCCCCACCCAAAGAAATGCTCTCATCAATAACCATCCCGTATGTTTGTATTAACTTATAGCGGACAAAACCTCCCCTTCCAAGACTTCATTTACTCCTACAACTCTCTGGAGGAAGCAGAGGGGGAGGATTGGCTGGTTCACGGAGGTCCCAGGACTCGCCCAGGCCACACAGCGGTGAAGTACCAGAACTGGGATTTCAATTGGGAAGCGAGGTGTCGGGGTGAAGGGGTCCCCAACACTTGAATGGGTCCTCAGGAGCGACTTTCCGATTGTGGAGAATATTAAAGACAGACGGGGCACAGGGGCTCCTCATCCCACGTCGGGACTGAGAGAATGCATCTTCCAACGGGTAGATACAATGGGCTTACAGATCTTTCCTAAGGCATGCATGTCACCCAGCTAATATGTTACATAGTTAATGGGTAATATCATAAGCGGGTATCATAAACAAGCAATGAGGTGAGTCAGCATCTTGACCTAGTGCTAGTTGACCTCAAACCCCCCTGAGCCCTCCCCAAGGGACTGCCACATTTATGGTCAGTTGGCTATAGAACCTGGTTGCTTTTATCTACAGATAACCTTTAGGCATAGTGAAGTAGCCAGACACAGAGATGATTCAGCTTATATGGTAGTTCCTTTATGGGGCGTTATTGGAGAGACTGTGTCCAGTCACGAGAATGTGTATTAAGATTTATTTGTATCTCATAACCGTGAGTGTATTCCCCCACAAGAGTCGGCTTTCCAGATGCGTCATTATGAGCACGGATGATTTAGCTGCATGACATTCTCATCCCGTCCCTGTTTCCCACGGGAGGAGAGGGGCAGAGGCTGGAGAACCAATGGACTAAGCAAAGGAGATGCGGTGTGCTATGAGTGAGGCGCTGGGCTGCTAATTGCAAGGAGTTCAAACCCCGCAGCCGCTCCACAGGAGAAAGATGAGACTATTTGCTCCCTCGAAGGTTTACAGCCTTGGAAACTCTCTATAGGGTTCCAATCAATCTGAATCGACGTGGTGGCAGTGGGTGAGCAAGCCAACAGTAGGCGAGACAGAAACCCACTGGAGGGCAGTGAGTGAGCAGATCAACAAATGCATGTAGACCTGGGGGTTTCCACCGGTCACATCCCAACATAAAACTCAAATTGCTTCGATTTTGCCAGTAGTTTCCTGTTAGTCCTAAAATCCGATTGATGCCCTTTGCCACCACCCTGCTTGTTCTGGCTCCTTGTACCCCACCCCAGGGCACTTGTGACCTTGCCAACTGCACCCTACTCCCACTGGCTGGCTTTCAGGCAGCAATGCCAACCGCTGGCAAGCCTCAGGGCCTTTGTACCAGCTGGTGTTTCTGCGTGGAGTGCCTCCCCTCAGCTCTTCACAGCAGGCGCCTTCTCCTCCTTTCAGGCCGGTTCAGCCTCCCCGTCCGTCTACAGCAGTGGTTCTCAACCTTCCTAGTGCTGCGACCCTTTCATACCGTTCCTCATGTGGTGGTGACCCCAACCACAACATTATTTTCGTTGCTACTTCATAAGTGCAATTTTGCCAGTTACGAATCATAATGTACATATCTGATATGCAGGATGTATTTTCATTGTTATAAAGTGAACATCATTAAAGCATAGTGATTAATCACAAAACCTATGTAATTATATATTATGAAATATTTATCTCTAATTACAAATAAATGAAATTTTGTCTAGAAGCATGGTGTTGCATGGGTAAGTCTTAATATAACAACAGTAAACCACATTGGTACATGTTACGACAGTATGCGTAAAAAGCCAATGAAGGTGGAGATAGCTTTTTTCTCACCAGATCAGCATTATCTGCATGTGGGCAGATCCCCCTGGAGACGGATAAAGGAGCAGGGCCTTGGTTCCCAAGACCATGGAAAACATGTGTTTTCCAACGGTCTTAGGTGACCCCTGTGAAAGGGTTGTTCGAGCCCCGGGTTGAGAACCGCTGCTCTAGATAAGCGCGGCCTCCTCCGCCAAAGCCCTTCTCCGGATTGCTGGCTGTGCTATCTTGCTCTGCCTCTCTGGAAGCTCACCACAGGCAAGGGCTCTGTCTGCCTGTTTTCTTGACCACCATAGCTCTCTAGACACTGCACCAGTTTACTGTGCTTCCTTCTCCAGCTCGCCCTGCATCTGGCAGCCTGCCCTGAACAGCCTTCTCCAGGGGGGCAGGCGTATTCTTCCCTCCAGTCTTCGGCTACCCTGTCCTGTGCCCGGGGACACTCGGCAATTCTCTTACAGCCACTCTTCTCGGGTTTCCCGCCCCTGCTCTGCTGGCTTGCCCATCGGGTGGTTTTCCAGACCTGCAGGGTCCTGGTGATAGGTGCACAGCACTCGGCTGGACGGCCTCTCTATTCCCATCTCATGCCAGATGGCTGGCTCCCAGGCTCCCCGACTCGTGTGGGATGCTGGGATTCAGTCCACCTGAAAGTGACTAGGAGCCATCCAAGAGGCACGGAGGCCAACACTAACCTTTCTCCCAGCCCCCCGCAGCATAAGAAACTCAAAACTCAAAGCAGGGCTGGGGGTCCTCCGGGTACCAGCACCTGTGCTATGGTAAGCAGAGGGCTTACAGGGACCTGGGAGAAAAGGCTCGAGCAACTGGAGAGGAGCGTCGGCGACGGCTGACTCGGCATTTGTTACCAGATCTAATTTTCAGAGAACCCAAAACCAACCCTAGATTTTCTAAGAAACTTCATATGTTTTTAAATGTTGACAATGAATTCAATAGGGGAAAAGTAAACATTACGGCTCAAATAAAAAAATACTGTGAACCACCAATGGGGAACCCTTCCCATCCGCGTGCACCCCACAATTGCCCAAGTTCTCCCCACCTGCAGAAGCCCCTGCAGACATAGGAAGAGGGTGTCAGATCCCAGCGGGGTTCCCTGCTGAAGTGGGGAGGCTTTCTCTGTCCTGCAGGAGAGCCTGAGAAAAAGTCTGGAGACAACTGGCCATCTTGTCTACAGGCGACAAGATCTCCCAAGGAAGCCCTCCCCAGTCTACCCCGACTCAGAAGCCCGAGGCCTAGAACAAACTCTCAGAGGGCCTGCATTCCGTTTCATTTCTCTTTATTCCCAAACAGCTTAGTTACAGATTCCAACCCTCCAAACATAACATCTGGGCAAGTTACGAAGATTCACAGCCAGCTTGTCAGGGCACCTTGCCAAAGACACAGGGGATAATCTGGGTTCCCGGGTATCTGCTCTCTGTTGGGGGAAATCCAAGAACAAGTACAACCACAATCGCAACCCACCCACCCCCACTCCCACCCCCTTTAAATAAAGTTTTGGGTTTTTCTGTTCCTTTTATTTAGTTTTCCTTTTAAATTGTGAATTGTTCTCGACGCCTTTTCTCAGCATTCATGTCTGTTGTCAGCACGTCTTTCCTTCCTGGTGGCACTAGTGCGCTGCTCTGCAAGAAGAGAAACACGCACAGTCAGGGCTGCACCCTCCTCTGCGGCAGGTCCTAACTGGTAACAAGGGAGACCGAGGCGCTTTCCCGCTACAAGGTCCCATTTCTAAGGGCCGACTCATTCCTCCACTGACTTGTGTGGCTATGTCCCCCTCACTCCGCCCAAGGAAGGGAGCGACCGCTAGCTCCTGGCTAAAGCTGACGACCACCTCAATGGAAGCCATGACACACACCTGCTGGAGTGAGCTCAGGGGGAGGGATGCAGACATAGATGGAGATGAGCAAATTCCAGGCACACCTCTCACAGTGCAGGGCCAACAAGGGAGTGTAAATTCCAACCGAGTGAACGGAGTTTAAAGAGTGCTCAGCCTCGGTTTCCTCGATTGCGGATCTGCACATCAACCAACCACCACGCAGCCCTAGGAAGCTCGGAGAAGGGTTTCCTGGCCACGCGCTGCTGAAACCTGCAGCACATCGCTGCCAGGCCTCCCTGCTCTCGACAATGGTCAGACTGAGCAGCTGGCCCTCAGGCTGGTGCTCGAAAACGGTACTCCGCTCACGGAGCATCTTTGGGAGGAGTCAGACAGAGACCTCTCCGCTTCTTCATTCCCTTTTCCTCTGGCACTGGAGGAGGCGGGACATCAAAAGGACAGTCAGGTGGGGGGTGGGGCAGGCACCCGGGTCATCGTGAGCGGACAGCCATCCCCAGTGGCAAGGACGAATGTAATGACAATGTTCTGTACCAGGACAGGCTCCAAATCGCTACACAAAACAGCTCCCAGGGGCATGCACGGCCCGCCACGGACCCTGAGGGCTGAGTGGCTGCCTGAGCACCCTGCCCAAACCCAGAGGCCCCTCGGTGTACTCAAAGTCCTTTGGCGAGTAAAGCCTGAGCAAGGACAAGAGGAGCTGAAGGGCACCACGAGTTGCTACCCTGGCGAAGGCGTCACACCCCATTTTGCCTGCTCAGAACAATTTGCTCGGCCTCTTTTACAGAGTGTTTGGCTGGTAGGGAAGCCAAACTTCCTGAAGTATAAAGGGCCTTCAAAAAGCTCATGGAAAAACAGAATGCCTAGAGAACGAAAATTCTCCAAAACTTTTTGAAGTCCCTCCTCCCTTACGGTAGGGCCCAACCCACCCTCAGGAAAAGGACAACAGTCCAAATGACCCAATGACGTTCCCCTCCCTCAAGCAGCTGGACTTGGGGGTGGGCAGGGTGGGGAATCAATCCAGGGCTGTTTCAAAAATTTCATATTCAGCAAAAAGGACAAGGGAGCTGACTAGTTCCGAAGGCAAACCTCGGCTAGAGCAACTACCAGTGAGGCCAAGGCTGCTGCCGGCCGGGCTGGGGGCTGGGGCAGGGACCACTCTGGGGAGGAAGTCTCTATCTTGACGGAGGAGGTTCTCACGCCGCTGTGGAAGGTTATCAGGGCTCAAGGGATCGTCCGTTAAGAAGGGTGAATTTTCACTCTATGGAAGGACACCTCCGTTACACTTGAGAAAACACGGGTCATGCCACTCTGTGTTCAGGGCTAGGCGTTTCTGCTTCTACGCACAGGTAGGTACGAGAGCTCTACCGCGATGTGAAAATCCCATGCCCCACCCCTCCTCTTCCCGGCTGGTCTGGGACAGGGGTCAGCGCACTCCAGCCCGTCCCCCGTTTTTGGTAAATGAGGTCTATTGGGACACAGCCAGGCTCCTTTCGTTAGCTACATCCACGGCTGCTTTCACATGATGGTGGCTGAGGTGGCCTTTGCCACAGAGATCACATGGCTCACAAAGCCCAACATACTCTCTGACTCTTGTTCAGAAGTCTGCCCACCCCTGAGCTGAGCAATGAATTCCAGGGTCGCCCCTGCTCTCTTCTTCCCCGCCCTAACATCTCCCCATCCCCATCTTAGGATACAGGACAAGTACCTGGAGGCAAAACAGGCAATACATTTACCTTGACGTTCTAGTGCCTAGAAAGCTGTACTGATGCTGGCTTTGATCTGTGGCCATCACAATCGAGAGCCTCCCACACCATGCGGCTTGGCCCAACTAGAGGCTGGTGCTACAAAAAGGCTAGAATCGGTGACAAGGTGTGCCAGGATTTGCCACGAGGCCATCGTTGAACGAATTTAGACCTTCTGAATGAGGCAATCTTTTAGGAAGCCCAAGGCTTGCCCTGTCTTATCCTCAGCTCTCTACCTCCTGTGGAGCCGTGAGTTAGGGGATGGGGGTCTCTAAATAAGTACCCTATGAGGTCCAAGGGAGGACGAAGTCTTCACATAGCCAAAGCCAGGCCCAAGTTGCTCTACTGCAAAGCCAACTCACTGGCTGGATGGACACCAGGCCGTTGGCCCTGCACCACTAAGTTGGAAATGGCCCCAGAACTCAGCTGGGGCTTTGAGAGGGCTGGGGCGAAACTAGAGAGAGCACCAACATGCAAGGAGGCGGGCAAGTTGGGCAAGGGAGCCTGCGTCTGGCACGAGTCCGCCCTCCATCTTTACCGTAGTGTCCTATATTTTGCCAATCTACTGCTCTGCTCTGCAGCGATCCTGCCAAAGGAAAGAGGATTGAGAATCAAGAAAGGACAGCGAGAGGAGAAATAAGCCCAGGAAAGAAAGGGCCAGCATCCCGCCAGGGCTCCCCTTGGGGTCAGTGATGTTCCCGGGGGCAGAGTTAGAGTTAGCTCTAGGACATACAAAGACAGCAAAAGAAGCGGGGTCTTCAAGTGGGTGGGTGGGCTGTGTGCGTGCGTTGGGTGAAAGTGGGAGGGGTGAGATGGAAGGGGTAGTCACTGATTCTTTTGGAAACCACCATCCTTTTCCCCAGAAAATTCACACAATCTTAAGATCCCAGATTACTAACTCCTGCTAAGCATCTCGAAACCAACGCCTTTCATGCCGACTACCCCGTGCTCTTATTTGACTGGTGCGGGCATCCTCCTGAAGACAGAGAGCCCAGCAGGACACAGCCTCCGGCTCCCTGGCCCAGACTGGCTGCTGCAAGGGAACAAGGCTCTACTCTGGGCAACAGCCGGGTTTCCACTCGTTCCCAGGTGACGTGCTAGGTAGGATGCGTGCACGCTGCCCATTTCCAGTAGCCACGACTGAACCACCTCAAACTGATGTGCAGCCCTGAGGAAGACGAGCTGGCTGCCACTGCTGGGGCTGGTAAGGGACGTGCTCTGGTGGAACCAGGCCGCCCAGCAGGACCTTCAGGGTGAGCCTGATCTCCAGGGAGAGGACAGGCAGAGAGCCCAGGGTGGAGACTCAGATAACGGCAGGACGTCTGACTCTGCCGCCTACAATGGTCTCCGAGAAAGCCTTTCTCGTGTCTGACCTGCTCCGTGGAAAGCCACTGCACACTGCAGAGCTATGCTCTTCAAAGAAAGTCTTGGGGAGGAGAAAGCAGAGCATGCCGGGAAAGGTTTACTTCCAAAGATGACAGCAGCTGTGACCTTTTCTTCCCGGCCTTTGCGTGGCCGAAATCGCCCATGTTCTAACAAAGTCAAATCAATGAGAAACGCCCGTATGACATTTAAGTTTGCCTGGAATTCCATTTCGAAAGTCAAGCTGCCAGCAAGCAGCCAGCACACAGTGGTCCAACTGCTGGTGTGACCTCGAGGTGGTGGAGTTCTCTGGGCACCCAGCAGGTGCACCCTACCCTGCTGGGGGACCCCGGGCACAGGTCTGAGGAAAGGCTCCGGCCACCTGTCAGGGGTCAGGGAGGAGGCCTGGGGCGCATCCTCTGGCATAGCACAGAGAACACAGCCAGCAAACCGACAGTCTTCAGTTGCACATCTTCTGCTTCAAGGAATTACACTCCTCCCTCACTCCAGTGTGTGGGGACCCTCATGTGTACAGTACTGCAGCCGTAAGACATTAAAACTGATCGCCCTGGCCTTTTCTGCCAGGATGGCTTCTGTATCAGCTGGGTGATGTCCTGAGACTCACCCTTGATCACTTTGCCACATATCTTTGTCCAAAGAATTAAGGAGAGCAGAGTTGACACAGATACTTCTAATCCCACTCTGGGCCCGGGGCCCCTCCCCACCCTTACCTCTTGATGGCCTGCTGGGCCAGCATCCGGTTGCCAGCCAGAAATGTCACACTGCCCAAGATGGCCAGGTATTTCAGCGTCTGGAACATGTTGAGCTGAGTCCAGTAGACATACATGAGCCCCAGCATGGCTGCAAGAGTGACGTGGGAGAGTGGTCACAGGGCACAGCGACAGCCCCGGGGACAGGAGGGCAGGGAGCAGCAGCAGCCGGAGCACGGGGAGGGAGGTCTAGACTCCTCGCCAGTCCCTTTGTCTGAAGCCTAAAGGACATCCCACAGCACATGTTGTTCTGTCTCACCGTGGCGACCGGGAAGTCCAGAGGTGAGACTCAGAGCCCAGCGACACGGGATCTCTCCCCACTTCTCTGCTTTGTCCCTGGAGTTTTGCTGGGGGTTCTATTCGACAACGACGGCAACAAGCCTTTCTTTCTGGAGTTGCCCTATCTGGAACCCTTTCAACTTTCCAGATACTTCGTGACAGGAAAAACGATTTCCTTCTCATTACAAACTGTTTGAAAGGATCATTTGCCACCTGACTAAGAAAGCCCTCGAGGAGAACTGAGGTTTGGTGAACAGGGCAGGGTCGGGTGGGCACCGAAAGTTCTCGGTTAGAGCCACCGACTTTCTCAGTCAACATTCGCTCGCCTGTCATTCCCCATGCCCACCAGGGCTATGATGAGAACCAGCCAAGGACGTGTACACAGAGGTTGAGTTAGAAAGAAAAGTCATGGCTTTACACAAATTCATATTCAGGTTCTGTTTGCACCCAGCCCTGAAGGGCTATTGCTCATATCCAGTTCCTGGGCTGGAGAGAAAGGTCGCCCTGTCAAATCTGCCCAGAAGGCTGACTGATGAGCCACAGCAGGGGTTGGTGACCAGCTGTGAGAGGCCATGGACATTGCAGGAGGGGGATTCAAGTTGTGCATGTAAACTGCATTTGACTACAATTTCAAAGGGGCTCACTTGGGAACCTCTTCAGAAACCAGGGACACAGATGGCTATTCCTAGAACATGCCAAGAAATTCAGAAAGGCTATGGGGTCTCAGAAAATAGCCAAGGCACTGCCAACCCAATAGCATCGCAAGCCTCTGAGCTGAACTGCGCTGTGACTTGGCGGTCTCAGGAGGACGAGGCAGGCCAGTATGTCTGGCCGTGGAACCAGCTGTTTTCTATTACCATCCAGACAGAGCCGCCAGGAACCGTGAAGATGGATACGGTGGGGCAAAAATGACCTTTGGAACCTGCATTCATGCTCTTCCGCGGGGAAGATGGCTCAATGTAAAGTTACAATAGGTGAGTCATCTCTGGAAACGAACAGGGCTATTAGACAAGGGCGAATGGCCCAACATAATGACCGCTGTTCTACCCTGATGGGCCGAAGAGGTGTGTCATCACACGTAACTGTCCTAAAAGGCCCGGAGGAAGTGGGAAATGTGATGCTATTAAGTCATTATAGTTAATAGCTTGTGGGTCTCCTGAGCAGGGTTTTTTGGTTTGTTTTTTCCGTGTGTGGGGGTGTGTGCGTGCGCGTGCAGGTTAAATGTCAGAGTAGGTTTGACAGAATCAGCGGCCTGCGGTGCTTACCAGCATGTCCCAGGTGAAAGATAATTGTGCTCGGAGCAAAAGAGAAGTTGGAGACGTTGGCACCGATCCGGATCCACTGAGTGACGAGGAGAGAGAGATTAAAACGACATTAGACCTTGAACGAGGAGGCCTGTGCATGCCAATGCTATCCAGTGAACAGCCGAGGGGCTTAAAACTCGGGATACACTGGAAGGACAGCGATTTTTCCCAAGTGACAACCACCCTATTACAAGTCCTCAGGAAAAACTGTCCTCCTCTTAAACCCCCCCCCTTTTTAAAAAAGGCATCCCAACACCGGCTGGCAAATGTTCTCGTGTAGCTCAAACCTACAGCATTCTTACTGGCCACACACCCCTGCGATTGGAACCACCAGGCTTCCGGAATCCCGACACTGGAAGGGCACAGACTGCGCTCATGAGAAGGGCCTGCCACCCCTCTGCTTCCCCCAAGTCGCCGTGAGATGAGCGGCTGGCAGCTGGCAGGGAGCACACACGTGGCGTGGGTTTCAGGCCTAATTCTCATCGCTCAGAAAGGAGTGCAGGGGCCCTGAACCCATGCGGCACGCCGCCTAGATTCACACCAACCCAGAATTATGCACATCAATTCCTTAGTTAGAAACACAGGCAATCCTCCAAAGTACGCTCTAACGAGCTTTCCATACGCTTCTCACCAGACATTATAGGTGTTGCCCTTTTTAAAGTTCTCACACACTATGCTGACCCTTGCCTTGCTCACTCAATAATAAGGTCTTGATGATCTCTCATATGTGTACCTACCCAGTTGTTTTAAAAACTGCCCATCATTTCCATTGCTTATTGACGGACCATAAATTACCAAACACTTGCTTTAAAGAGGACTTCTAGGTCGTCTCTAAGTGTTTTCGTTCCAAACGGTCCAGAGCGCACCACCTCCACGCAGTATGTTGGACGCCCCACCAGATCTGGGTCTTGCTTTGTCACACCTGACCTCAAGGCAGCACTTGTACGGGGCTGTCATTTTAACGGCCACTCCGTACTTTCTCCTGTGGCTAATGGACCCGTTTACGTGGCTGCTTGGGGAACTTTTGGTTATTCTGAAACTTTTGACCCTAGGCTCAGGGACCGGCTGCCGGGCCCCTCTGAGCTGCACTGAGGCCGGAGCACAGAGCCTCCTTTGGAATGAGCATGTGTGTTGAGTCCGGCGTCAGACACACGCTGCCCATGCTGATCACAGCTACTCACCAGAACAAGGAGCAGGAGCAAGGGCGAGAGGATCAGGGCGGTGAATGTATTGGACACCACCGTGGGGGGCCTCTTCTCAGGCTCTCGGAACAGGTGCTGCCATAAAAAAAACACACGAGAACACTTTAGAATATGCCCTTCTCAGCAGGGGATGCCCTGGAAACGCCAATGCCAGGAAAAGGCTCCTGGCAACAGGTAGCCAGTCACTTGGCCTTCTGCTGCCAAAGACCCCACGTCAGTCCTGGCTCCAGTTGGCCAACCCTTTTTTCCTCATGGCCATTTGGAGATCAGAAAGTACAACCTGGCAGGAGGCGGCTGGGGTATGGAGGAGGGCATGACCCTTCGAGCCGAGGCTCCAGGCTTCCTCAAGCTTCTGCACCCTGAGGTAGGGTGGCATGGGCAGATGCGGCTCCCCAGTAAACTAGCTAATCGGGAATAACTTCCTCTTGTCAAGTTTTAACAACTGAGCTGCACAACCCTAACTCACCCACCCGTCCCAGGCCCCCAACTCTCACCAACCCACTGCCCCTGAGCAGATTCCCACAATGACCTTGCGCAGGGTTTGAGGCTGTCCATCTTGACAGGAACAGCACTCGGGCTGTCCTACAATGACCGGAGGGCTGCACAGAGAGCCCGGGCGACTGGGGTGCTAGGAACGAATACTGGGGGTTCTGATTTTGTCTCTAGCTGCCTTCGCAGGTATCCTGGTGGTGCGGCGGGCCAGGCACTGGGTGGCTGACGGCAGGGTTGGCAGCGGGAGAAAGACCAGCCGGTGCTTCTTAAAGGCCCAGGCCTCGGAAACCGTCTGCAGCAGTTCTGCTCTGTGTCAGAACGGAGGGCGGTGAGTTTGGTTTGGGGACCTGCTGTCTGGGAGCTGGTCACTGGGTCCCTGTCTTTTCAGCTTTAGGAAGGAACTGACATTTTTGCTGCCACCCACCCGCTGTCCCCTTCCGGTTCACGGGGTGGGGAGGACGAGATGACAAAGCATTGCATAAACATAACGGTCACGGAAGAACCAGAGAGTGAGTCCTGGGCTTGCTGCATCCTCTCTAGGGGGCCCGAGCCAAATGGCTTCTTAGTGTGTGCCGGACAAGCCCCGGAGGACGTACCTGGATTTCCTGTTTGGGTGTGAAAAGGTTCTTGGACAGGACAGTTGATGGCGCATCTTCTTCTGGGAACCTGACGACCACGTCGGCCTTAGGAAAACAAGAGCACGCCCTAAGGGTACAGGGCAGCAGCGGGCGCCTCGCCTGCCTTACACCCCAGACCGCCACTGAAATAACGCCAAGCAGTCCATTCACGTCGGGACTACCCATTAGTTGGCGAATGGGGGCTGTGAGAACTTCCAGAACAAAATTAGGTTATTTGTTGAAGATGCTTTTTAGAGCCAGGGCTCCAATTTTCTACCTGGTATGGTGAGCCCCATAGAGCTGCCTAATACAAAAATCCCAGCAGGCGGCCATGCCGTTTTCGTGGCTTAGTGGCCCTGGAAAGCGTGATGTAGTCACACAAGAGAGAAAGGAAGCCGTCCTCTCATACAAAATGCAACCTCAGGTTCGCAAAAGAAAAGGGGCCTTGATTACGGCATGGGAACCGGCAGCTGCCCCTTCGTCTCACAAGGGGAGCCGGTCGTCATCATCCCGGGCAACGATTCTGCCTCTGCTCACCTGGTCACCCTCCTGCCCGCTGCTCTCCACAGTCAAAGGAACCACTCAGGTCCACAGGCTCAAACAATTCTGGTAAAAAGCTGATGAGTCTCCTCTCTTCACACAGAGCAAAAGCGAGAACACGCACGCAGGCAGGCACACACACACACGAAGTCTGCTCCCCAGAGAACTTTTATAGAAATTCACACAGCACTAGAACCCAGGAGAGGGCACATTTAGACTTCACTCGCTTGCTCACTCACTCAATATTAGGCACCTGTTGTGTGCAGGCCATATACATGGCCCTAATGGTGACACTACACGGTCCTTCACCCAGGCTCCTTCATTGCCTGGGGTGGCATCCTGGCCGAGCTAGAGTGAAGAGCCCGCCCCCCCTGTCTGTTGGGCTGTTGGCAGGGCAGGGCAGGGAGCGTTTAGGCACATACCACATTCCAAAGGATGGGATTCTTCAAAGTGGCATCTCCGATGATCAAGTAGAGGGTGTAGGTGCCGGAGGCAGAGTCAAATTCAGACTTCCTTTCGGAGGGATCCAGTTCAAACTTGTACACGTTCTTGCTGTCGGGCTCGGCGACAAACACCACTTCCTGGCCAGTCTTCTGGTTATGAAGTCGGACGAATGTCTAGTTGGACCAGTGAGAAAACCTTTCATCAGATCGGTTAAAAACTCCCTGCGGGCTGGGCCCAGCAGCTCATTCTGGGACTGGCCGGCCCTGCCTCAGAGGGGAAGAGCGGCCACCCGAGCTGGCTTCCAGCTCAGATACCGTCCTGCTGGTAGGAGGCAGGAAAACAGCTCAGAGGTCCAGCCAACTCTCAACTACTTGGAGGGTGAAGGCCCAGTTTGTGATGATTTAAGCTCTTTGCGATGGCTGCAACTTCCGATTCCTGCCAGCCCTGTGGGCACGTTGCTGCCCAATTAACTTCTTCACCAGAGGTGAAAGAAGGGAAATGAGGTGCAACTGTACGAGGCCCGTCTCCGTTTCCCAGTGCCTCCAGCTGAAGATTTACGAGGAGAAGGTCAGCACTGACAGCCAGGCAGTGTTCTCGGGCGCCCAGGCCCTGTAGACAGGCAAGACCCGCTCCCCCAACTCGGGCTGGGCAGGCTACAGAGCCTCCTGAGCCTCGCGTTTCCCATCTGTATGACAGAAAGACTAGCTTCTACAGGGGCCGGTTCCACAGTAACGTACACAGGGCATTTCTCTCATGGGAAGCCTGGTACACGCTCCCTAACGAACTATCAGCAGCAGCCAGTACTAGGACCACATTGTAACCAAGACGCGCACCTTCGACGCTGGTTTGCCAACCACTCCCTCCCTCGGGAGAAAGTTTCACAAGCAGCTGCTGCGCCAACTTTTAAAAAACATGTTGCTTAAAAAAATTCACATTGCTGTTAAAAGTAATACTAATACTAACCACGTTTAATCAGGTTGCTATTAAAAAAATAACAACAGTGCATGTGCAAAACCACCTGGGTGGCAAAGGAGCAGTGCGCGCAGACATGCTCGGCACCATCAGCTTGTCCTCTCGGTGTCTTACACATGAGAATGGCACGGAGACTTGGCGTGCACGCAGGGCTTTTCGTCCAGACGCCGAGCTGACAAGGCAGGCGGCCTCGGCTGGTTTCACTGAGAGATCGGCAGGCTTGGACATCCCTGGCAGCACTAGGGTCACCCAGCTCTGCTGACTCCACAGAGAGCACACAGACCCCACTGTTCTACTCCTGGGCCATAAAGAACCACCTCCCGAGCATCTAGGGGCAGGGACCTGGAGATGGGAAGCGTCCGACGACAGCAACTCCACAAGAATGGGCTTTAAGTGCCCAGGGGGGGTTAGTCTTCCTCCATCTCAGCCACAGCCGAAAGCGGCCAAACCATCACAAAAATGTCCTTTCCCCAGGAGGTGGCTGAGGCCCAAACCAGAGTCCTAGATGAGACAAATATTCTGTTCAAGTTGTCTTTCCTTGGGTACTTCCCTTCTCCCGTCTCCCTGCAGTAGCTCCATCCCACCAATGCCGTCACTGTCCTTTGTCCATGGCCTTTCCTCGCCGTGCTATTCCGGGTGGCAAATGCCATGCTGAGAAGGCACTGGGAAATTGCTAAGAGGCTGAAGTGATTAAAGGTTAGCCACCCGTGGGTAAGTGCCCCGACACAGCACTCGGGCGTTTGGGCGTGGAGGGGAGCACAGAGCACAGCAGAGGGGGACAGTTGTCCTGGGGCCTATGGACACATGGGGGGGGGGGGGCGGCAGCCGCGAGAAACAGAAGTGAGGCTTCCAAGCAAGCCCACTGCCCCAGAAGCTGCCCCCCAGGAAGGATACAAGCCAGCTGGTTCCTGTGTAAACAGAAGGCGCCGAGACCCAGCCTTTCCTGGTCCAGCCTTCTTTCCCATCTTGCCGGGAAAGCATTTAGATGTCCCTTGACACGGCAACACCTAGAGGTGTGCCCAGGCCGGGGTGAGCAGCGACCCCCATCCAGAAAGATGGCAGAGGCAGGGGCTCGGGGTAGGGAGACAACAGGTCAGACTCTCTGGGGAAAGATACTGTTAAAAATGTTTCTGAAAGAGTCACCGTCACGCTCTTAGATCTGGGAGGCAAGACACCGATTGCTTTCCTGATACAAAGCAAGGACGAGGTTCCCACAGAAGGGAAAGCCTGCTTTGGCCAGCAGAAGAAACCTACACTGAGTCTGCTGCCTGGGGTTCCCTCAGCCATACTTGACTTCAGTATTTTCTAGTAGAAAGAGAAAGGCCGCAGTTTCGCCAAGTCCGTCTTTTCAACTGCAACTCATGCTTAAAGAGAGGATGGCCTCCAGGCTCAGAGAGGGCAGCATGTCATGTGGGAGAAGCACAAGCCAGTGGAGCTGGCTGGACTGTCTCTCGGGGCTCACGAAGGTCTGGAAACAAGGATCCAGGGCCCCGCCAGCCAGGGCCATGCTCCACACCACTAACCCCAATGCACAGTCACACTGGGGGTCGGGAGAACGGCCTGGGCCTTTTCCTGACCTGGTGAGGAGTGAGTTCGGCCCCAGTGTTCACGTCGACCAGCTGGAAGAACAAGGCGAAGTTCTGATGGCTGTCTGCAATGAATGTGCCCTTGGCTCTTGCCGGGTAGGTCACCCTGAAAGAGACATTCAGACCAGAAGTCTTCAGAAAGACACGGATACACAGCTCTGACAACAGGCAGGGAACAGTCTTCACTTCGTGGTTCAACCCTGCCCCTCCCACTCTAACACTTGTCTGGTGGGTACGGACCAATGCGTGGAACCGTCTGGGGCCCGGGGACCAATGGCGCTGAACAAGGCCGGGACTGAGACAAGCACAGAACAAGCCTTCCCCGGCCCGGGAAAACGCCCCACGGGGATGCTCGCACTTCTAGTTCTGGCTTCACGGGCCTAGAGAGCTCTGCTCAGGCAGGCTGACTCCCAGGCAGCAGGGAGGGCACACAGGCGGGCTGTAGAGCCTGCACGGGCAGAGGGTCCAGGGTCCTTGAGCAAGGTGGGGGACCGGGGACACAGAGGACAAAGGGCACTTTCCACCTTCTTTTATATGATATTTTGGACATCAATTCAATGTCCTTTTCTACCTGGAGTTGAGTTTGGAACACTGAATTTTTAAAAAGGTACTCATAGATTGACCTTGAGAGACGTGAGAAAAAGGCAGAGCAGGGCCTCAAACTCCTGGGACAAACAAACGCACGCCTCTGACTTCCTGGGTGGGTGAGCCCAGAGGACTCCCAGCCAGACTCGACTGCCCTGAGATACTTTTTATATCTCAACAGAACCCAGCCCGAGGTTACCCTGTAACCAAACAGAAGGAATATCACCCGGAAGCACTTGTGCTCCCTGACACAATGCCTCTGTGAGACCAAGAGTCCGTGATGACTTTCAAACCAAGATGGGAATGTCAGGGGGCAAGGGAGACCAGGTGAACGGAAACACAGCCCCCAAACCAGAGACACCGTGAAGAGTTAACCAGTCACCCCAAGCTGGGGACCTGCATGGCTGTGCGCACCCTCCCTAAGAGCACAATAAATGATGGCTTAAACTCCAACCACCGGGGAACTTCCTTTGTAACAAGGCGAGGCAGACTCAGAAAACCTGCTCTGTCCCCAGGATGTGACGCTGAGGTCAGGGGCAAAACAAACCCAGCGCTTCATCAGAAAGCACATGCTCAGAGCATTCTCACAGGCACTACTCCACCAGCGCACTCGCCCCCACTCTGACCACCAGCCAGAAGCAGAAGCCCAGCGGCCAGCCCTCCAGGACTTAAGAGCATGACCGGCTTCCTTCCGGGTTCTGGCTGCTATCTCCTTAAGAAGGCATGCATGGCCACCCCAACCTAGTGCAGCTGGGTGTGCACACTGCCCAGAGACCTGGATGCCCCTGTCCCAAAAGACCCGGGGGCAGACTAACACATGAGCTGCCCACTGTCGGGAGCCAATGGTTCTCTAGAAGCTAACCCTGAAGTCAGCCAGCACAGGGCTGGGACTGGTAACTGGTGGCTCCATGAACTTGGGAAGGGAACAAAGGTCCCAGGACATGTATTTTTCATCTCAGTTATAAGGACTTGAGAGGCTTCCAACTGATTTCAGAGCCACTTGGACCAAAAAAAGTTTCCATCAGACCACTGAAAGCGAATGGGACTGCTCCCACAGGGCATCTGTACCAGACGATCAATCGACACACTGTCTCCTTCACTGAGGAAGCCTTGTCTTTTTAAAAGATAATCTGAACAGGACACAGTTGAGTGATACTGAGGCCCGCTCCACAACTCATCGGGGCATGTAACAAGTTTCCTCATGGACTGAACACTGTTGTAAAACAATCCCAACTCAGTTTGAAGTGCCAAGTCCAGGTTGGTGCAACACCAGGGGAGCTACAGCCACTTCAGCTCCAGGGGAACTGGGTCACTGATGACACAGAAGCGACATCGATGGGTGGGGGGTGGTCATGGCAAGTGGAGAGGCACCTTCCTCCAGCTCTAGAGACGGCGCTCATGTGGCGACTACCTACCTGGTGGTTTTAGGAGCGATGCTCTGGTCCTTATCCACAGTGGAGAGATCAACATTCGTGATGCCAACTTCGGTGGAGATCTTGACTCTGAGCTACAGTGAGACAGAAGAAAGGCACTGAGCGGCACCAGCAGAACACGCTCAGCCAAAACGTTTCGCGCTTCAAAAGTAAGGCGAAGCCTGCAGAGCCCTGGAGCACGAGTCTTCGGTGATGGTATAAAATGGACCCAGACAGGCAGTGCTTGCTGACAGAGGCTTACAACAGCGGTTCTCAACCTGTGGGTCGCGACCCCTTTGGGGTCGAAGGACCCTTTCACAGGAGTTGCCCCATTCATCACAGTAGCAAAATGACAGTGATGAAGTAGCAACGAAAATAATGTTATGGTTGGGGGTCACCACCACATGAGGAACTGTACAAAAGGGCCGTGGCACGAGGAAGGTGGAGACCCACCGCTGTAGAAGCAATACTGTGCCTCTTAGACTTCTGGCTTTTTCCGTTTCTTTTCTGGCCTTGGTGAGATGAACGTATATTTGAAAAAAGAACAAGATCTTGTTCTTAAGTTCTTTAAAGTAAGTAAAGGGGCGGGGTGGGCTTGGGGGGTTCGGGGGAGTTTTAAGCAGTAGTCCTCAAATCATTCAGATCAACAATACTCAGTTCTGTGGTGAGCCAGGGTCGACTGGGCGTTTACTCTGGAAAGGCACTGCTCTATCAAGATGAGTTCATGGCACCCACAACTCTGCAAGGGGATTATGCTCTTCCGAGATGAAGACATGAAAGACGAGCGAGGGGAAGGTGCTTGCTCAAGATTAGTGGCAGAGCTAGTACTTTAAGCTCCAGCAGTTAGACTTTACCTGTGTTCTCAGACACCTCGTTTTAGGGCTTGCCACTAACGCAGGCTCCACGCAACATTGCCTGCCTGAGAAGCTATGGAAGTTGCCTGTCTGGTTCGTGCTGGGGCATGGGGTGAAACGGTACTTCCCCACCCCCAGGGGCTTGCTTTGGCCCACAGAATCTGAGCAGTTCCAGGTGGGAGCTTTCAGACTCTATGTTTTCCCTTCGCTCCTTCAGCTGACCCACTAAAACACCGAGGATAGCCAGGAAGTGAACTTTTGTTGTTTTAAGCCACCTCCATGTGGGCTGTTAGCCACCTGAACCAGTCCATCTCACCCTGGGTTTAATTCTTCATGCCTTTTTTATAAGCATTCTCCCCAAAAGGAGCCAACCAATGCCAGTAAACCAGAAATTTAAGAAGTAGATGGAAAATAAGTGCGAACCACAAAGACTGAACGCATAGCTGAAAGCCTATTCATGGGAGATTTGGGGGCTAAAACTCTAAGATGAATGTGAAAATGGTGCAAACCCAAGGTGCTTTTTCTGTGCAAACCTATCTGTGAGCTTTCCAAATATTTGATAGGATTGAATTTAATGCTTAAGGAAATCCTTACCAAATCCATTGGTTTACAAAGTCTGGTTTAGGGAATAGAGAAAGAGGAACAGGCAAATAAGTGAAGGGCAGCTTCAGCATTTTTCCAAAATGCCCTATCAAGGTATGGCAGATTCAAATCAAGGGCAAAGAATACAGATATTATCAAGGAATGCCTTTTAACAGCTTTCTCCCCTGTCTCCATAACAACTATTTTGTGACAACAGCCTGTTATCACGCTGAATAAGGGTGTTCTGTTTTGCTTAAAAAGAAAAACTGAATGTAAGAAATGTATCATCAGAAGCGCTAAGGCGATTACCTCCTGTTTTTGAATACACCGCCACTTATCTGGCAGCATTACCACTGCCTGTGGCTGAGCCCAGGCCACCGGGTCAACTATGGCAGCTGGGGGTCAGGTCGGGGAAGAGGACCACCACGTGGAACAGACCCTGAGAGAGTGAGTGAGCGGGGAGCCAGCCTCTGCTTGGGGTCTTTGGGATCGGCACTAAGGAAACAGCTTCACAACCCAATAAGGACCGGGATCAGAACAAGCCAGATGGAGCCTAACCCCAACATTCCACCTCCAGGGCAAGGCAACCTTGAGGGGAAGGTTCAGAGCCGAGGTCTGATGAGGGTACTGGGTTTCAGCCACAGCTCCTGCTGCAACCCCATTGCCTACCTCCCCCGGTCCCATCCGCAACACAGAATGCAGGGCTGTACAGAGATGGCAGGGTGCACTTCAAGGAACACAGATGTGCAGAACAGAACTCGGCAAACCCAAATGCTCCAGAAGCCCAATCTGCCCATGGCGGGCTGCTGGTGGGAGGTACAGCACGCGTGCAGGACCCATTTCGGGCAGCTCTCCAGTTCAGGGAGAAGTGGGAGATGAGCAGCACTCCCTGTAATGAAATAGATCTGTCCTCCCAGCTAACTACGCTGCAATCTTCATCAGCATTAACTGGATAATTCCCGCATCACTCATTCTCCCCAGGACTGATTTAAATGGTAAATGTGATCTTGAAGTGATCACGGTCCTACCTAAATTGCACATAAGCAGGAGACCATTAAGCCCATTTGGACCCATCTATGTTCTGGAGTAATTAAAAAGGACAAGGGGGATGGTAGCTGCAGACACAGAGATGTTACCTCCTGCTTTCAAATACACACAGCCTTTCACTGGCAGAATTATACTTACTGACACTGCCTTTCACCGAGTCCAGGCAGCAGGGAAAGAGACAGCCACCAAGCAGATTAGACCCCTGGGGGAAACCTGGAGGCTCTACTTTGTGACAAAAGAATACAGCCATTTACAGAACGATCCTTTTCGTGTAAATAAAAAAGCATACACCCATTCGCTGATCTATGCACCCTCTTTTTTTCCCCCCTAAAGGATCCGCAGGCAACGGTTACCCCTGAATTCCTCTGAGGAGAGGGTCTGAGAGGCTGGGAGCAGCTCTTATATTCCATTGTAACCTTTCTATGCTTAACATTTGGGGGCCCTATGTTTTTTGTTTTTAAACTAGATACCGAGGAACTGAAATGGTAGGTGGAAGGGCATATATAAATCATTGTTTTTAGTAATGTGGCTTCTTTATTTTGCAAAAAGAAGAATGAGAAAAAAAGATGAATGGTTCACACATGTATGAGAATTTTCTTCCCCCTAAATCATGTGTGTGTGTGTGTGTGTGTGTGTGTGTGTGTGTGTGAGAGAGAGAGAGAGAGAGAGAGAGAGAGGGCCATATGTTTTTAAAGCATGTTTTCCTTTTAAAAAAACAAACAACTGAAATGGGTTATACGTGGGCAATGAGACCGCAGGCTGTACACTTACTTTCTTCTCGACAAACTTTTCTGTCTTAAAAAGGTAATTAGGAATGAGGAAATAGGACTTCTAAAACAACGAAGCCTCCACTTCAGCAGAGATACACACAAATGTTGAAAGATGTTTAAAGGCTTGTCTCAGGCCCCGCGCAGCCTGTTAAGCCTACGAGGGAGCTTTGAAAAGGTTCATGGAACAAATCCATTTCGGCACAAATGGTCGGAAGCCCCTTCCTTGTAACTAAGAAGGCCATCAACTTTAGGGTTTCCCATCCACATTCTGTCAACACTCAGCCAGTGGGCAGCCCCTAAAACCTGCTAACCAGGCGTCAGCTGCCAAGCTTGGCTTGTACCAAAGGCAGCCGGGCACTCGCAGGCCACACAGACCCAGCGGCAGACGGAAGGGGCCACGGCAGTGAACTCTGGTTCGCAGGCAACCCTGCCGACAAGGCGGCCTCCCTCAGCTACTGCTCTCTTGGATCCTCAGAACCGCTGGGGGGCTGCCCTGGGATGGAAAGTGTGCGGAAACAAGTTCCTGTGTTCTCCCCAAACCGCACTACAAATTGGGTCTCTGGAAAGACATTCAAGAGAAAGGTATTTCTGCAACTCTTGTAAAGCACATTGAGAATTAAAAAGTATCATAATGCGCCCCCTCCCCCGCCTCCCCTTTATTTTCAAGAGTCCGGGGTAGGATTCCTGCTGGTGAGCGGCTGCTTTCTGCCAACTAACGCGGCGGGCCACTGTCCCTAAGGGCAAAGGAGAATGGTTCCCTCCCTTTAAACACAGGCTGGCCCCAATGATGGACGCATTCCTTTGCTGCGGCTTTTGCACATGAGGCAGAACTGTTAGATACAGCACAGCGCCTACCAGATTACCAGTCAAGTGTGAGTATGTCACACGCTTTCCTGTGGGTAACGTTAGTAAAGGGGCACTTCCAGATACACTACCACATCTGTAACAGGATCGTAAGACTCGTGTTTGGATCCGTCTGAATCACTGCACCCACTCTGCATTTCCCATGGAACAGGCAGGATTCCTAACCATGGGCTGTCCATAAGCTGACCGTCTGTAAACTGAGGTACAACCATGCCTGCCTCACAGTACATCGTGCTGGCCCTTTCTTGCCTGTGCTGCAAACCACACACATCTCAAAAAAAAAGAAAGGGGAAAAAATGTTTTAGTACCAGGAAATGCCGCCTCTCTGGTGGGAGTAAAAGCCCTCCTGTTTCGCTCATTATTGTCAACATGATGGTGCATTAGGGGCAATTAATGCTAATGACAGCTTCCCAAACCCATGCTTCCCCTGACAGCCAATGTCAATGAGCACTGCTCCACGGCGTTTATACCAAACCGCTGTTAACATGCTCTGACCCACGCTGAGCATCATTTCTAGGGAGAATAAACAGGATCCGCTGACCTGCTCTGAGCCTCTAAGTGCCACTATTACTGAAATTACAAAGTAAAATTGGCAGATATAAAAGGGGTCAGAGCTCACACACTTGCGCCGCAAGTTCTAATGTAATGAAAAGGGGAACGAGAGGTTTGCAATGTTTATTCCGTGGGCAGCCATGACCTCGATGTGGGGAAGGGGTGTTATTATTGCAGAAAGTATAGCTACCAGCTGTTTCTGCTCTTTTCTACTGAGATTAGTTTTCCAAAAACCAGGAAAACACTTGGACAAACAGGAGACTTGATGTTACAAAGAGCCAAGCTGTTCAGAGTTATCAAGACAGGGTAGTGCTGACATAAAGACCAAAATGCAGATCAACGGAAGCGAACTGTGCGTCCTGAAAGAAACTCTTTCCTCTATGGTCAACTCTGGAAAAGGTGCCCAGAGCATTTGAGCTGGGAAATAACAAATTGTTTCTGCAAATGGCAAGGGGACACCTGGATACTCACATCCAACAAGAAGAAGCTGGACCCTAATGAACATCATGTAAAAAATCCAACTCAAATGTAGAAGTCTTCAAAGGAACACAGGAGCAAGTCGTCACAACTTTCCATCAGCCCCCGTGTCCTAGACGGCGGGGTGACCAGAGCACCAACCACCAAAGTAAGAGACGCATGGAAATGACAAAACTGACGCTGGCGTGTATCAGAGGACGCCACCAAGAAAGGATTGCAGCCCAAATGTTTGATACGCGGTTTGCAGCAAGAACATATGAAGGGGCTTCAGAAAGTTTGGGGAGACAATCCATATCTTTTCATTCCATTTTTAAAATAAATGCTGAAGCTCTCCCATATAAAGAAGTCTTACAAATCAACCCTAGAAAAAGACAAATAATTCCATTTAGAGATTGGCCAATGATCTGAACAGTCATGTCCCCAAAGATACACAAATGACCAAAAACACATAAAAGGTGCTTGTCATTAGTCATCATGGAAACACAAACCCCAACCATGAGGAGATTCTACTTCACGGGCGTGATCATAAGTATTGCTGCAGAAAGGGAGAAGCTGGAACTTTCCTACCTTGCTAACCCACTGCTGGGTCGGTCAATTCTGACTCACAGCGACCTCATAAGACAGAGTAGAAGTGCTCCCTCGGGTTTCTGAGGCAGCACCTGCGAGAACGGTGTGGACCAGGCCGTGGGTCGTTTTGCCGTCCACAGGACTGCTCTGAGTCAGAACCAGCTTGACAGCATCTAGCAACAAATCTTGACGGAAGCGGACAGCTTCCTCTTTCTCCCACGGAACGGCTGGAGGGGAGCTCCGATTGAGCCAGGCAGTGCTGGCGGGAGGGCAATGGGGCCGCTGTCTTGAACAAGTTTGCCAGTCCCTCAAACAGTCAAACCCTCCGGCAATGGGGAGCCCATGAAATATTCAGGCAGGGGAACAATGTGGTGACATCACCCTAACGGCACTCAGAGCAGGGGCAGTATTGCAGACAGTGGGAAAGGACACTAGTCAGAGACCACCGTCGCAGAGAAACGCCGGGACTGAAAAACAAAGCACACGCTGAGCCATGCGGGGAGAACAGAGGCAGCACTTGGAGAATGGTCAGCAAAGAGAGAAAGGGGTTAAGAACAACCAAGAGGTAGGTATGAGCTTGACACTTGGTTTGGTGCACTATTATCAAGACAGGAGGGTGAGGGAGAACCAGATTCCAGGGCGGGGTGGAGGGGAACTGCCATATTAGAATTTTAAAGGTTCAAGGTATCCACCACACTAGTTCCTGTTCAGATTTTGTGCTACTCAGACATCTCAGACCCCAAAAGGTCAGACATGATCCAGAGACACAAGAGGCAAGAAAACAGCCTCCTTCCTGTCAAATGTGTCATCTATTTTTAACCCAGGTGTTTGATTCACCTGGGCTAAGTAGTGCCCCACTTTCTGAAAAGGTCAAACTGTCTAGCTGCCTGCTCTTTGCCGTTAGAGAACGGAGGCCACAGGAATCAACTTCCAGAACTTCCCAGGGGCCAAATCTGGGGAAATGTGAACAACGACATGGAGAGCCCGGAAGCCGCACTGTGACAAGGCATTTCAAAGAAAACAGACGGGAAAGGAGGAAAAGCTACTTCTGGCAGCAGCATGCCAACCAGTGGATGCAGAAGGAAGGTGGGAAAGACAATGGGGAAAAGATCACCCTTTGGTGAACGCCACAGGAAGGGGTACAGGCGAGCGATTACAGGCAAGACTCACCGGGGCATCTGCGGAGTGTCAAGGCCCCTCCCCCAAGGTGGAGAAGCAGGAACTTGACTGCAGAGAACTAGCAGGCTCCGCGGTCAGCAAGAGATCAAGGTTCACGGCACCGGTGAGATACCCGTTGCATCCTGCACTTCCTTCCTGGTATGATACCCCGAGGGGGGCCCCACCTCACTTTTGGAGAGCTTTGGTCAAAATGTCTGACCAACTCAACCCGAAGGGCATTCTACAAAGCAGCAGGCCAGTACGTCTCAAAAACCTCCAGGCCATGGGAGGTGGACACTCTCCTTAAGTAAGAGACCAAATGGGCATGACCACCATAGGAGGGACATGTGACCCAGGAGCCCCAAGAGCCCCATGAGACAAATGGGGAAATTGGAATGAAGGTCTATCGATGAGTCGATAGCATCGTAGCAACGCTAACTTCCTGATTTGTGTACTTTGATCATAGTCACACATGGGATTAACATCTGGGGAGGCCAGACAAAGTGAAGTGTACACGGGAAATCTGCACTATGTTGGCGATTTTACGGCAGAACCACTTGAAAATAAAAATAGAAATGATTTTTCTAGTTAAGAAAACAAAGGTGAAAAACGCCCTCTGACAATGAAGAGAATGTTTATTCTTTCAGGAGAGGGCACAGGGCCACTCCATGGCCGGGCTGGCAGCCTTGTGACAGACACAGTTTAGACAGGGTAGCAGAAACGCTGAGACATAGTGGCTGTGGTGGCGGATGAGAAAGGCGACCACGATACTATGAAAGGCCCAGCTGCTGGAGCTGGAGCCTGTATGCACCAGAACACCCTAATCAAGCTGGTATGTGCAGTCATAGGCTAGGGGCTACGTCGGTTACTCTAGCCCTCCGAGCCTCATCAATGAGGTAAGACTAGCTCCACCCTCTCTCAGGGTTGTTGTCAATACTCAGATAACGTAAACAGAAGGAGTGAAACGGGGACCCCAAGCAATGGGCATTCAAGAAAAGGGCCATCCTGATGACCATAACTGCGAGTAAGAAAGGTGAACCCAAACCCCACCGTGGCTTCGGAAAGCAGGGACTGTGTGTTCGTCTTCAACAAACTCCTATCCAAAAGGTTAAGCGCTAACACGGTAGCTGTGGGCCCAGTGGGGTAAATGTGGATTAGCTGGGAAACCGCTAATGTGAACTACTTCATTCCCACCAAGCAACAGAGAAATGAGGCGCGGCTTTCCATCATCACATCTACAGGGATGTTCAACCCAACTGGGGTCAGCGAACCATCTGAAGCACGACTCATCGTGAAAGAGAGCCAATTTTCGGGTGGGCTCTACCCAGATGACCTTATTTATAAGGTTGCATGCCACTTGCCATCTTTCTTCACCCAATTAGCACGAAGCGCCTTTTAAAAACCTCTGAGGACTAGCACATGAAACACTTTACTGATAGGTTGGCCACGCTAGACTTGGCTTTTCTAGTCCCTAAATTTCTTATAAAACAATTAATACTCTGATGCCAGGGGCTTAAGTGGGGAGCATATGTTTTAAGAATGATGAGGCAATGAATGTACAAATGTGCTTTACACAATTGATGTATGTATGGATTGTGATTAAGAGTTATATGAGACCCTAATAAAATGATAAAAAAAACCAATACTAATTTAAAGGAAGTAAAAGGAAACCAGCAATGACTAAGCTCTTGGTTTATAGTCTTGGCTAAGTCTCAGACAGCAGAGTTCACACTCCTCCCTCTCTGAATGTAAAAGTAAAGCCATCATCCTGGACCAGGACTGCTATACAGTATACGCACTATGCCTTTGGTCATTTCCGTGTTTCTACCTGCGTGACAATGGGGATGACAAGAAAAGCACCTACCAACATTGGGCCTCCACTCAAGTACTCCCTCAATGCAAGAATACTTTCTTCCACTAAATTGGCATTCTATGATACTCATCTTCCCGACACAACCGCTGAAGACAAAG